CCTGAGGGGGTGGAGTCAAGCTCTGTTGTTTCATCCAATGCCTAAGCCAATACCTCTCACATGCTGTAATCAATAAAGTTGTGGCCTTTTTTTGCCCATTAACCTAATATACTGCGTCCATGTGTCTTTCTTATCCTCAAGTAGGTGGCGGGTCCTCGAATCACATTCTTAACCTCTCAGAAACAGTTTTCAGCACAATCCAATGCATGTGTACTTTGACTGGAATAACCACCCAGGGGTCCTTTAACCCTTACTTTTTTTTTTTAACTTGGCTGTAAGTCCCATTGAGCTTAATGGATCTTACTCCCCTTGCAAGTGTGCTCAGAACTGCAGCCTTTCATTTTGTTTGTTTCTGTTTTACCATTTAATAGTTCACCCCTAGACATGTTGCCTTTAATAGGAAATTATGTTACCACACACAATTTTATTGCACAGTCGAGGAAGGAAAATGTATTTTCATGAAAACTTGGTGTTCCCCCTTTGGATCCCTTTCATAAGTGTGATTTGTAGATGCTTCTCCCAGTGGTACCATTTTAGAAAGGCGGTTCCAGATTGCACATCTGTGCCTTAGCAATTTTGCACTTCAGCTCCTTGAATCCATATTAGTGCCTTCCCTTCCACAGATGTACAGAACAAGTGGAGTCAAACGGGAGGCCAAAAGCCAGCCGACTACTAATACTACATAAGGGAGATATTCATTTTTCCATTTCTTTAGATCACAGAAGTGCTTGGCTCAGCAGGATTCAATAGTCCCAATATAGATCCATGAATAACAGCACAATCCTATACAGTACTTGTCTTCTCAGAAGTAAGTTCACTTAAGTTCAATAGGGCTTGTGGGTATATGCTTGCACCCTAAGAGTCATCTAAATGTTAAAGCACAGCCAATAAAAGGATTTTAAACTGATTAAGCACCAGTATTTTAACCAGTTCATCAATTCACTTTAAACAGACATATTTCATATTTCCTTTTTTCATTCCATATTAAGTACATTCCCACTATTGTACTATAAGCATCTACAATTAAGATTGACTTCCACTGATGAACCAACTAGCTTTTAATTAAATTGTTAAGATCAGTAGATTAACAAGCTACATCAATCAGACTTCAGTTAATCAGATCAATCAGTTTCCAACTGATGAATCAAGGTTCCATTGATCAATCTACCAATTTAATCAATTAAGGCCACAAGCCTTAAGGCCACTGAACTGAGCAGGACTTACTTTTGAGTAGACATGTAAAAGGCTGCACTGCCAAACTCCTGACCATTTCCTTGCCTCCATCATTTATTTATGCTTTTCTGGAATGTCTCACCTTCCATGACACAATAATAATTACTGGAATTTATAATGGAAATGAAAAAGCACATAAAACACCTCCTGAATGCTATACAACCATAATAGTTCTATTTTGCAGATGGGGAACTGAGGCCAAGAGATCCTAGACAGAACCTTTTGCTAAGGTGATAAATATACATACATCCATACATACCAGACTTTTAGAAGACATCTGAAGCCAGCCCTGTTTAGGGAAGCTTTTAATGTTTGTATTATAGTATTTTAATATTTTTTTGGAAGCTGCCCAGAGTGGCTGGGGAAGCCCAGCCAGATGGGCGGGGTATAAATAATAAAATATTTATTATTATTATTATTATTATTATTATTATTATTATATAATATTTTTATTAAAGATTTCTTAGTTTACAAAAATACGTGCATTGTCTTTTTTCCCCCAAGTTGCCAAGTTGCGCTGAAGTGATATTTGAAGTGGGGCCTGTACAGCTTACTTTCGGCTAGCATATCGCAACACCTCTCACAACAAAATCTGAAAGGTAAATCATTTACAGACCGAGGGCCTTTCTTGAGAGCTCACCAGCATTGGGAGAGAGCTCCGTTGAGAGAGAACTGAGCACCTCAAGGCTAAACTTGGCCTTTTTTGTGACTCCCCCCCCCACCCTTACCTAATAGATCAGGAGTCTGTGGAATGCAATGACCAGAGATTTCCAAGTATGTAACCGTATGCATCCTGAAACATGTACCTATCTTCAAACATTTTCCCTCCTCCTTTAGATTCTCCTTCTCTCTCCTCCCCAATATTGGAGTGTCTTGTGTTTGGCCATCAGTGACTAAGCACCCAGTCGGCAGGTATCCTTCGCAGTTTCAGATTGCAATGCTTCCCGTTATCTGGAACAAACCCTTCTTTCCTCCTCTTGCTGCTGAGGCCATGATGAGCCCAAAGTTATTCGAACCCTCGCCTCCCAAATCCTAGTCCAACGCTCTCTTTTTTCCTAGTCTAGCTCCCCAATCTCTATGCTATACCAGCTCTCCAACATGTTGCAGATGCATAAATTGTCACCCGACCCCCCCAGTCCACTTTGGTAATACTATTGCAGCTCCTAATATCAGAGGCTCATTCACCTGGGCCTCCCCCCCCCCCCAACCCAGCTAGAAAATGACTTCGTAGGCCATTGCCTGCCATAACAGTCTCCATGCAAAGGGATAAAGGGGCAGAAATTGGGACATCAGAAACTGGCTATTCTTCTTCAACAAAGGGAGACTCCAGTTATAACTGCTGGACTAGATTATCAACAGGTTTGACTGTGCTCATCTAGGGCTTAACTGGAACAAAGGCTTTTTAGCCCTGCTAGGTTTTTTTCTTCTGTCCTTACAAGGCTTCTTTTTGTCCCATAGCAAAGGTGTTAAATTAGCATAACAAAAGATAAATTATCAGTTGCAAACTCTTTTGTGGGTTAAGCATCTGTAACTTGCATACATCTTAGCTTTAAGCAAAACTGTCTACTTCTTGCATTTCATAGATCCCGTGTTTACAACACCCTCCCTCCTTTTCATTATATGCATATATATAGATGAGAGCTTAATTAAGCCAGCCAGTTTTATGCTGCCGCAAGACTGAGTTTCTCTATTTCTTATAAAACTGCTTTTTCTTTTATTTCCCTTGTCTTTCTTCTTTTGCAGATTAATCTTGAAGGTATCCTTAAGCAAGCCCTGTTGAAAATCTTGTCCTCCTCCCCCCTCAATTGTCTCCTTCTACTTTAATTGAATGGCGTCCCCTCAAGGAGCTCCATAAAACCAGCTCCTTTTATCTCTAACTAGACAGCACAGTGGGACAGGATTCTCAAGTCCTTGGCTGGCTACAAACCTGGGTTGATGCACCTACATGTTCTGCACACTTCTTAGAAGAGTGATAACACATGTGAATCTCCTCAGATATTTGAGAGGTGCTCCCAAAGTGTGAACTGCTTTATTACATTCATTGCACAGTCATATTAGAGACCGACAATCTCAGCCTGGCCTAGGATTGTTTTGAGGGTAAAACGGGGGTTTCCCTGCACTTGGTTTTAATGTATCTATGTGTTGTTTGTTTGTTTGTTGTTTGGGTTGCCTTGGGCAACGTAAAGCAACTAACAAATTTATTTAAATAATAATAATACCTTGAACTCCTTGGGGGAAAAGTAGCATCCAAATGTATTATTAGAGGTAGTAGCAAGACGTAGTGGTAATAATAATAATAATAATAATAATAATAATATTGTTTTTTATTACACTAATTTCTTTTGCCCTGCTGTCATCTCTGATTAAATGGAATTGGCAATTTTCTGAAGTGCAGAATTCTCTAAAACCTGGACTACCGTGTGTCAGTAGTGGTTTAGTCCTGCTGGCCACATGACCCAGAAGCTGTCTGTGGACAAACGCTGGCTCTCTCAGCCTGAAAGCGAGATGAACACCGCAACCCCCGAGTTGCCCTTGACTCGACTTAACTGTCCAGGGGTCCTTTACCTTTTAATACAGCGGTTTTCAAAGGGCGTGGTGTGCCACACTGGTGTGGCAGGAGAGGGTGGCAAGAGTGGTGGGCTGAAACATGGACAATCAATGAAACATTTAAACACTTTAGTGTAGTGTGATTTTATTTTTTTAAACTTGCAGAATACGGATAGACATCTTTTCAAAATGAAGGAAGAGCAGCAAGTGATACTGAGGGCAATCCTAGTTGTATTTATTATCAATATAATGTATTTCTTATTGATAAGACCATTCGGTGTGGTGCCAGCAAATTTTTATTCTGAACGTGTGGCCGGGAGAAAAAAGTCTGAGCGCCACTGCTCTAATAGCATCCTTCCTTATAAATCCTATCCCAAGGCTGAATGTTCTGGTTAATGCATGAGGCTGCAGAAACAGGGGAAACACAAAAAGTCACAATAGTGCTGCCCCCACTGAGCCTCTACGCAAGCGGACACTTGGTCTTCCAGCAACCATTCAAAAATATGAGTTATTCCACACTGAAAGCAAACATCACACCATTTAACCCTAGTTTAGGAACTTTCCATTAAACGCATGTGATTTTTGCCCCATCGGGGTCGGGCTCCTGTTACCGGGGGTTACATACGGTGGTGAGAGAGAGAACCGAGGGGCAACCCACTCCGGCTTAAGCCCTTTGTGGATCGCCACGGGCCGGCACCCGCTCCATATCCGAGGGGGGCTTGCGTCGCCAAGAGCGCGCACTGCCCCCGTGGCGACGCTCACTGCTTGTTTGCTGCCTGCGCTCAATTCCAGAATTTAGTGCTGCTATTTTCGAAAAAGAACAGCTCGGATTTGGCCTTTCATCGCCCCGGCCTCTTCAGGCCAGCTGTTCCCCTTTTACGCGCAGGGGCCATTGCGCTCCGGAGTCTGGAAAGGGAATCGGTGGAAGGAGTGGAGCAGTTAGCAGCAGCGCTTGGGGGAAACAGAGGCGGTGTTGGGGAATAAAGCGGCTGGGGGGGGTGAGGAAGGGGTGGGGTGCTTTGGAGCAGCGCCCCGGGAAACGTGCCCCCCGCTCGACGGCTGGCTTCGCTCCTCTCCCGCCGTGCGCCTTGCAGGCCCGCCGAGCAGGGGCGGGGCGCGCTGCCCGGGCCCGTGGGCGTTCCCGCCCGGCAGAGCCGGCCCCTCGTCGGGGCGGAGGCGGTGAAATAGAGGCGGGAGGGCGGGCCCAGGGACGGGGCTGGCCCGGCGGCGCGACCTCAGCCAGGTAGAGCGAGCTTGGGAGCCTCATGCGCGCTGCTGTCGGGCGGGCGTGAGCGAGGCGAGGCTCCATTCCGTGCGTCCTGCCGCTTTCGCGCCGAGGCGCGCCTTCCGCATGGCTACGCGGGTGCTGAGCATGAGCGCCCGCCTGGGGCCCGAGGAGCCCGTCTTCGCCCAGCTCAAGCCCGTGCTGGGCGGCCGGGAAGCCGCGCAGTTCCCGGGGCAGGGTCCCGAGGAGATCAAGCAGCAGCAGCAAGCGGGCGCAGCAGCAGCCAGGATCCCCAGCGAGGAGATGGCGCAGGTAAGCGCAGGGCGCGCCTCTCGCGCTCCGTTGTGAATCCGGAGTGGAGCCTCGGGCATCGTTCCCCCCCCCCGGCATCAAAATATAGATGGTTTTGCCTGGGAACACGGGCAGAGTGCACCTCGTGGCGACGCGTTGCTCGGATCGTGGGCTTTCTCGAGCCCCGGCTGGGAGCGCGCTGGGTGCGCCTCGGCGCTGGCTCGCTTTGGGTGTGTTTGGGGCAGGGAGCCAACTCGGGCTCTCCGAGGTGCGGCTGCCGATCGCCTGGCCTCGCCTTTGCCCCGTCCTAGGTGGACACGGCTCCTTTTTGTGGCTTTATTCGGGGTTTAAGAGCGAAACCTCGGGCAGCGCGTAGCTCCCCAGAACTCCGCTTGTTAACGACCCGCGATTATTGAACGCGGGTTTCCTCGGTGTGGACTGCGGGGCTTTCCACGCCGCTGCAGTCGAAGGCGCGGCGTAAGACACGCATCTCGCTCTTACGTGTGTATAGGGGAGGGAGTTGCGAGGAGCCACTTATTCCGGAGCCTTTTCTGCAGCGTCGGGGACGGGCCGCTGCTTCTCAGGGCGGTGCCGGGGAAAGTCAGGCGGCAACTTCGCCAAGCCTAGACGGCGGCGGCGGCTTTGGCAGTTCTTTAGGAACTCGCGGACTTCACAGTTTCCCCATGCCATTCCTCCCTGGAGCAGATGTGTTGACCCATCTCCACCAAACAGAGCCAGCTGCCCTTCGAGGAGGACGCCCCGTCCCTTTTCCAGGCCAGGGCACCCGCTTCCTTCCCCAGGCACCCTTGGGATCCGGGTTGCCGCCCCGCCTAGCGAGCCAGTCGGTGCCAGGCTCCACGTTTCGCCCTGAGAAGGAGTGGGAGTTGCGCAGCACCCACGCACCCACCCCCTGGCAGCAGAGAGCCCTGGGGCCGAGCCAGTGCCCAGGCAGCAAGTGGGTGAAGGGGTGGGCGGAGGGGGGGGGGAGAAACTGGCCCGGGCAGTTGTGTTGAAAGCTACAGCTGCCACCTTAGCGCACTTGCTCAGCAGCCGAATTAGAGTCGCTGCCTGTCCCTCTCGCCCACGCACGGTCATTTTAGATGGGGCGAGAGGGAGAAAGGGCAGCGGGGGCGAGGGGGGGGGGAGAAAAGAGAGAAGGAAGAGAGAAGTTCTGGGACTTTTTCCTCGTCCCAGAAAACCGGCTGGAAACGGATCCACATGCAAACAGCTGGACGAGCTAAAACGGGAAAGCACAAACCGCTGGCATTTTCTTATTTTTTTTGTAGGAACGCAACCGGTTTTAATTTGCAACTATTTCTAGTCCTGGGTTGTTCTTATTTGAGCGTTTTCTCCTACGTTTTTATCCTTTTGCAAGCTTTCTTTAAAAAAGAAAAAAAGCCCAAATGTCAGTGGATATAATGAGTGGAAAAAGCCTCAAGTGGGTCTAAACAAAGCAATGTTTCTTCTCTCTCTCCCTCTCTCTCTTTCTCTCTCTCCCTCCCCCCAATCTCCAGCGCAAGTGTGTGCTGGAATATTGGTTTTAATTGATTTGCACAAGGATCTTATTTATTAGAATGTCGCAATTCCCGAAAGGTGGGTGGGAGGAGCGATGGAGGAAAGGAAGGCAGCCTGGTTTCAGCGATACTCCCTCCCCCCCCCCCCCAAGAATAGTGTTTCTGTCATCAAAGGAAGCTCGGTTGGGGTTGTAAACAAGAGCTGGAAAAAGTCGCCTGGCATGTTGGTGCAGATCTCGATCGCAGACAAGGGGGCTGCTGTTTCTCCTTTCTGGTGAGGGCTTTTTGGTGGTGCCTGTGGCTTCAGAGAGGCTCTGAAAATAAACTTGTTTGCCCAATGTTCCTCTGGCCAGCAGACCCTCACTTTGGAGGTATGGAAGTGTTCTGGCATGAATGGACTTACAGAGCAAGGGAGAATGCAGCATTTGCTCACTGGAGGGTACATGATAAATGTTTGACTGGTGACTCTGCTTGTAATGTATCGGGCTGCGTCCACCCACGGATCCCCTCACACCGCTAAACTAGGCAAAAGATTCCCTTTCTCTTTCCCTTGCACGCTCCCGCCCTGCTGGTAATTAAAGATCTCCTCAAGGACAGAGATGTTTGCCGATGGATATGGTTTTATAGGCTGACTCAGGTTGGGAAACCTTTGCTCTCCAGTCAGGCTGGGTGGCAAATGCATATGCAGGAAGGGGGTCTGTAACAAACGTGGGTCTTTAGGGACCTGTAAATGGCATTCGTTTTGCATTTGAATCTTGCGATCAGGTAGCTAGCTCTGGTTTTAAGGTCCCTTCCCCTGTGTGTCCTGTTTTGAAGCCAGGCAGCGTTCATTGAAAAATAGGGACTTGGATTTAGGTTAAGTGCCTGCTTTTCACTGAGGTGGTATAACACAGTCCCTGGGCTGTAGTATTTCAGACTGCAGATGGGGCCTCATTTGCTCGAATAGCACTCCCCCAATACAAACCTTTCCCTTGAACAGAATAGAAGCCTTGCAAACGGGAGAATTTGGGTGCCAGCAAATTGGGGGAAGTGTTCTGATCTTGTGAGCTGCGCCCCTGCAATATGAAGTGGTACAGCCACCCACCCACAACTTTCCTAGATTGTGGCTGTTACACGGAAATAGCTTTGTTCATTCTGGGATCAGATGCAGGTCTTTATCTTTGTTCTTCTGGGATTGGTTTTCCAAACCATGAGGTTGGAGGCTCCTAATTAACTTGTTCCAGCGCATTTACACGCACTGCTGTTCTCATCCTGCAGGTGTGGCAGGGAATCAAAATGGAAAGTGAAGCTGCTCCTAACCAGCCACCACATAAGGGCCCAGGGAAAAAAGTTTTACACGGGTGCAGTCAGGTCTATGTTTTTCACATCTGCTGCAGTCTCTTGATTCCCTCCATAAAAATTGCACCTTTGAATTTCTTCAAACTCTGAGTATCTTAAGAGGCTAATTTTTAATTATCCAAACTGAGTACAGGATTTGCGTGTAGGAAAGCACGTATTAAAACTGCACCACCCAACTTTTAATTGCAGTCCTGATAACAAGAGATAGTTGATAAAATCTAAACGCTTTTTAGTGGAATTGCCTTATTGTAGTCAGGAAGTCCTGAAGAGTGAGAACAGCATTTTATTAAATGTTGTAATTTGGAATTCTGGTGTCAAAGCTTTTACCTGTTGGCATTTTTACCCCACCTAAAGGAACTCTCCTATAAAATCCAACCTGCTATTTCTACTCTTCTTCTCTTTAAGTTTTTACTGTGAAAAATACAACTGACACGATCCAGCTAAAGTTCTAATCCCCACTAATTTCAAAGAGTTGGGCTCATCCTTAAATTGCTTCTGTTTTTTTCAATAGGACATAAGAACTTGATTTTGTCTGGATTGTGTGCTGGGATTCTGAATGGCAACATTTCACTTTTTAATGGATAAATGCTTTTTGTTGGTTTGTTTTGGGGAACGGCCCTGTTAGGTTTTCAGTACCAGGACTTGTACAGAATTGTAAAGTTGGAAGAGACCCTGAGGAACATTCTAGTCCGACTGCCTTCAGTGCAGGAATATGCAACTGGCCCATACGGGGATCAGTCCTGAAACCTCAGCCTTGTCAGAACCGCGCTCTAACCAGCTGAGCTATCCAGACTTAAAACCTGTAATATACGAAAGGAGAATAGACGAAAGTGCCATTGGTCCGGTTATCTCTTTTTAGGAGCATTCCCTTGTACAGTATAGTATAGCTAATTTTTTTTATCTTCTTGTTATTCTTCAGGCCCGATGCGAAATGGAGAAATATCTGACACCTCAGCTCCCTCCTGCCCCGGTTCTCCCTGAGCATAAAAAGTACCGCCGAGAGAGTGCCTCCGTGGTTGACCAGTTCTTCACCAACAGTGAAGGGGTGCCTTACAGCGTCAACATGAACATCTACCTTCCTGATATCACACAGCTGAGAACGGGCTTGTACAAATCGCAGAGGCCACCGGTCACCCACATCAAGACGGAGCCCGTGACAGCCTTCAGCCACCAGAGCGAAACTGTGGCTCCCGTCCCCAACCCCACCCAGGCGCTCCCCGAGTTCACGAGCATCTTCAGCCCCCACCAGACACCCGACGTGAACAACCTCTTCATCAAGCAGGAGCTTCCCACCCCAGATATCCACGTCTCTGTGCCCCAACAAGGTCAGCTGTATCAGCTCCTGAGCTCTCCCGATTTAGACATGCCCAACCCGACTACGCAAGCGGCGGTGATGGACTCCTTCAGTAATGTCTCCATGTCCTCTGCCATGGCGGGCCTTAACACCCTGTCCTCCGCCATGCCGCAGACGACCATGAAGCAGTTTCACGCGATGCCCCCTTGCACATACACCATGCCAAACCAGTTTCTCCAGCAACAAGCCACTTACTTCCCGCCTTCGCCCCCAAGCTCGGAGCCTGGCAGCCCAGACAGGCAAGCGGAAATGCTGCAGAATTTGACCCCTCCTCCGTCTTACGCTGCTACGATTGCCTCCAAGATGGCAATCCACAATCCCAGTGTGCCTGCAAACATCCCCATGAATTCGCCAGCCATCCCAGCGCCCAGGTACAACAGGAGGAGTAACCCAGACTTGGAGAAGAGGCGTATTCATTACTGTGATTATCCTGGTAAGCTGGGAAGGGGGGTGGGGTGGAAAAACCACCAGAAAGTTCTCCCTTGACCTCTTCACCGTGCGTTAAATATGAACCATTGTCGGCATGGATCAGAGCAAAAATTAAAAACCCAGCACCTTTCTAGAAACACTTGCCATTGTTCCTTTTGCCCTGTATGGAAACGACAGATGAACAAGCATGGTAGACTACCCAAAAAAGACCAAACCTTTTACAAAAGAGTGGGCCATGGTGGGGAAATAGGTTTACTTGACTTGGACTTTATGTAAGTGGGGAACTGCATGTTTGCCGCCTTCCATGGTGGTGGGGAGGAGGAAAAGGTCTAGGCTAGAACTTATCCCTGACATTTTTTCTATATGTGGGAGTTATTAGATAGGGGGAGACATTCACCCCAGCACCAGCACCTGAGGTGGCAACAAGCCATGAACCATGTTGGAAGTTCTACCAGCAACTGGGCCTTGGACGTAAACCTTGGGTCAGATTCTTGACTAATTAGAACTTGAAACAGTGCAGTCTTAACCATGACTTCTCAGAAGTAAGTCCTATTCAGTGGGGCTTAACTTCCAAGTACGTGGGCTTAGAACTGCAGTTCTAGTGCTGATATGGTAGCCCTCTAGACATTGTTGCACCAAAACTCCCACAATCCCTTATAATTTTGGCCAGGCTGCCTAAGGCTGATGGAGGCTGAAGTCAGGAGCAGCTGGGCATACAGCTCACTGGTAGTTGGTGACTGCTGTCTGCTGCTGACTCCTTCCTTTTGCTTTCAGCAGGAAGTCCTATGCGTACACGCATGTCTCCTTAAGGAACGTTTTCATTGAGATCATGTCCCGTTCCACTCCTAGTAGCTGGCATGACATGCCGTGGTGTGGTGGCACATCAGATGTGGCACTTAACATTGGCTCTGTTTTCTTTACAATGTAGTGGTCTTAGGGAGAGCTTAGCTGAGTTTTAGATACCTTCTGAGACTAGGGCGGCCCCTTAAATTGCTTTGGTTTTTCTCGCTTGCTGTAGAGAATCCACACACCTGCAGAATTGTCTTCTGACATGGTAACAACACTTGTGCTGAACTGGTGTGCAAGACACTATAGATCAGTGTCTCCCAAACTTGGGTCTCCAGCTTTTTTTTGGACTACAACTCCTATCATCCCTAGCTAGCAGGACCAGTGGTCAGGGTTGATAGGAATTGTAGTCCAAAAATAGCTGGAGACCCAACGTTGGGAAACACTGCTCTTGTACAGCCGGCCACTTTGCACACACTTGTATAATTCCTTGCTAGTATAGTTCCTAATATAATAATACGCTATACGTTACTGCTAGGAGTCTTATTTACACATTGAAAGGTATAGTTTATCAACTCGCCGCATATAAGTGAAAGATTAGATGTTGAAAATGGCAGTGAGATTTTGGCGAAATAACAATGCTGTCTGATTAATGGACATGTTTAGGAATATATAGATATTGGAGTTGACATTCTGGGTGTGTCTGATTGTGCTATTTGTGGGTTTACTGCTATAAACCAGCGTTGGGATCTGCCCTTTTGCTGTTAGCATATTCCACTAACAGCATATTTGCTATGTGACATATGGCAGGTTTGAGTAACTTTCTTAATATATAGTTAGATCAGCATGTTGGTGATGGCGCTGAATGTTAAATGTTTCTAGATGAGCCTTATGCCTCTTCTGTTTTCTGTCTTAGGTTGCACTAAAGTCTATACGAAGTCTTCCCACTTAAAAGCGCACCTGCGAACTCATACTGGTATGTGTTTACTGTGTTTTAAATGTCCTCTAAATATAAATTGCCCTTCTTTCTTTCTCTGCTTTGCTGAAAGGCTTCATTTGGTTTGCTTCAAGCTGAGAGAGTTATAAATCAGCCAAACAGAGTAGTTAATAAAATGAAAACGGACACTTGTTGAACTTCTTAAAATAAGAGGTTTAATTTGGGCAGGGAATAAATACCCTCTTTGAAGCTCTATCATTCCATCCTGCCCCCCCCTAAACATTTTCCGACAGAATTATGATGCAATTTGGTTGGAGGGTTCTCCCCTACATTGTGTGCGCGTTTCAGTTTCGTGGACATAAAACGTTGTTTTTCGATCTCGGCTTAACTATATTAAGGCTGCAGTCCTGTAACACTTACCTGGAATTAAAAACCGGACCGTGTTATAAAACACTGAAATCTTCGTACTATTTCAGTTTGTAAAAACAAAACAAAAACCCAAACCACACAGTTGTTTTCTTCCAAGTGGTCCCCAAATGACTGTTGTAACCTACCTGAAAGTAATGGGACACTCATCCTCTTAAGACAACTAGTTCTATTTAAATAAGAAGTGTTCTGTGTTTTTTGAAAAAGAGAGAATACATTGTGTGTTTATTAAACTGAACAAGTTGGTTCTGATGTATATTATTCAAGGCACAGTTAGCTCACTTTTGTGCTTAGCACAGAAGCTTTCATCCTGTTGCTTACTAGATTATTATTATTATTATTTTGCTATCTTGAGTTTTCGGAGTTCTTCCAAGCTGTAGAGTTTCTTGAGCAGATGACTGTTTAGCTTTCTTGGGTCCTGCTGGCTGAACTCATAACAATAACAAAATTCCTTATGCAAATATTTTTAAGTGGTGCATTTGGTGTAGGTTTGTAGCTGGGTCGGTTGTGGAGCCACAGGCCTTGGAATTCAAAAGGTAGCGGGTTCAACCCTAGAGAAGTCCTGGTAGGGCTAGGGGAAATTCCCATCTGAAACCCTGAGGAGCAGCTGTCAATCAGTGTAGACAGTAATGAAAGAGATGCACTAACGGTCTGTCATGATATAAAACAGTGTGAGAGTTCTGATGTTTTCCTGTGTAAAAGTAGATGCACAGCACTTAAAATGAAATGTTTTTTAAAGCAGCTTGGGTGTAGAATAAATGCTATAGTGTTTCCTGAGCATGCATTTGGAATATGCGGAGTAAGCTAAAATTCTACATATAGATGCATCAAAGTACTTTGAGTTTTCAAAAGAACATTGCTGTTCGGGGGGTTTTTTGTGTGTGGCTAGCTCATGTGCATTGAGATTGTGGTTCAAATGGCCTCTTCATACTTCTAAAATTCAAAAGTGTTTTTTTTTAAAAAACCTAAAAAAAACTGAAGAGAGATCTGAGGCTCATTTCGCCCGGAGAACAAGGGCATGGCTTCAGCGTTTGCTCATTGTCAAAAGACTGAATTGCCTCCGGGCAAAAGTGTTACTATGGAAATGTGGTTTTGATAAACGAAGCTGTTATCTGTTAAAAGAACAGTTGGAAAACAAAGCGAAAAACAAAAATGGAAAAGCAATTGTGAGGCAAGAATTCCCAAGCTGCCGGAGAGTATACCCACCCGAAGAGAGTGCCGGCTGTATCTCAGAACCACCGACCTGTTATTGCCTCCTTGCAAGCCATCCTTTGCTTGGAGTGGTCCATTTCTGCTGCACTGAGTATCTCTGACTGACTCAGTCACTCCCAATAGCAAGGCAGAACAGAATTGCCCTCCCGTGGGAGAAACACTCCTTGTATATCTCTGCATGAGTTTGGTTCCTTCCACTTGCAGGGCACACCCAAATGAGTAACTTCTACAGAAATGTGGGAGCCGATTCCTCTTGAATAGGTACCTCCCCCCCCCCTTGGAAGCTGCCGCTTCCTAATCCAGACCACCTAGCTCTCAGTGAGGACCCGCAGCTTCCAGGGTTTTCAGATGGGGGTAGGGTGTGGGGGGAAATCCCTCACAGCCCCGCCAGGCGATTCCAGGGATTGAACCGGGGACATTCATGTGCAAAGCATATCTTCTGCCACTGAGCCTACAGACCTCCGCTGTAAAATGAAGTTTGGGAGGTACTGTTCTAAGGTTTGTGCCCATTGGAGAAGATGATAAGTAGAAAGTTTACTTCTACAACAGAAAGTAGAAACCCCGCCATTTGTGTTTCTCTGTTTAAACCAGTTGCACGTTGTGTATGCCACGAATTCATAAACTCTTAGGCAGAATAGCCACCAGGCCTTTGCTAATCCAAGATTTAGCATCAGTTCTCGAAGGCTAAATTTAGCAGCCAGTAGCTTTCAAGTTATTTTAGCTTGAAAATTGTGTAAGCCACCCTGAAACGTGTTGTTTGAAGGGCAGGATATAAATCTGTAAATAAATAAATGTGACATATGTCACTGCCGCAGCAGTAGTTATGAAAAATAATTTATATCCCACTGTTCCTGCTGGAGGCAGTTATGGAGCTGTGTGCATTAAAAGCAGCAAAACCTCGATGAACAACAATAACAAAACTCAAGCAGCCAAAATTTCTAGGACGGCTTTAACTGCCCTCCTAAAAAAGAAAAAGACAGAATGACAGTAAAAGACTTAAAGCTAGGAATGTTAAAATATGTTGCTGTTTTTTTAAGTCTCTATTTGTGCATTCAATAATGTAAAATATCCTGCTGCATAGATGGAAGGAGACTTGATATTTAAAGTGTTCTATAGCTCACAACTACTTGGTAATTTAAAATCAGCACAGAAACAAGTGTGTTGTGCTCTAAAGATTAACACATTTATTATGGTTGGCATAAGTTTTTGTAGATTAGAGTCCTGTTCATCACAGGTCAATGACTCTAATAGAAAGAAGTCCACTCTGAATAAAATCTGGTCGTCTTAAGTACATTACATACTTATCCAAGTCAGTGTTGTACTTTGACATGGAGATAATATGTACTAACATTCTGGAGTTTATATATATGTATGGTGTGCTGTTCAATGATCTGCAACACCCCTTTCGTGGTAAGATAGACACACTCAACTTGAAATGTATTGTTTTTGAAGGCTTTTAATGGAAGCATATAAAAGGTGACCGATCTATTTCCACAAGGCTGCCGATCTTTATGTCTGGTCAATGTGACGTGCTGAGTATTCTGAAAGAAGTTTTCCCAGAAGATTATGGGAGCCCTTTGACAAAAAAACAAAAACCCCAAAGCAAAACCCATATTAAATTATGAAGCTTAATTTAGCTGTTTTCCTTAAATTCTTTGTACTCATTTGGCTTAGGAGCACCCCTCCCCCCCAAAAAAGCTATTTATAAAAACACTGTAGCATGAAAGATTTAATAAATGTAGGTCATGAAATGCATGTTATTAAAGTTTTGTGTGATACTCTTTCCAATCCCCTTAGGGGTTTAACAGACCTGTTTATCTGGCTCAACTTGTTCTGTAGTATCTATGGAGGACCACTGCTTGTTTTTTCTCTCTCTCTTCCTAACAATCCATTTTAAACTGACTCTCATCCACCCCTCTCTGTGATCTGTCACTTTAAAATACAAAAAGCCTGCAGCAGCAATCTTGCTTTTTTAGAAGTCAAAACAGAGCATATGCTTTCTTCCTTTGTATTTGGAAACCCCGTGCCTTTTCATAGTATTTATTTAGCAACCTGTCTCCACCTGAACAGCTTTCAGGAGTTTTAATGGCATTCTTTTCAGAGCAAACTTAAAGGCAGCAGCGGCTGGTGAGAGAGGTGCTCAGCTCCGAGAGGAGCAAGCTTGTAGGATTTATAAACTGCAAGAAATAAAACAAATGGGCAAGGGACCAAAAAATAAACAAATACACAGCTTATGTGGGAGTGGTAGGAACAGGCTCTGAGACGCAACTGTTGGGCAAATAAGGGTCTAGCGCTGCTAACCTTTCCATTTCTGTTGCCGTGCCTTTTAAACAGGCTTCATCTGCAGAGATTCGCGGGTGGGTTTTATCACCATGCTCACACACACACAGGTGTTAAAGGCGCTAGAACAGGCCAGCCCTTTTATCCTGGTCAGTTGGCAACGCTCATAAAGATTTCAGCAGCGATGTGACTTAACATTTTTTTTAAAAAAATGGTTTGCTGCAAAAAAAATTCTCAGTCCTGAAGTAGTTAACTTGTTCAAAGGTTTGTTGGAATCGACAGTTATGGAGAAGGTTTTAAAGTGAGGCAGGCTGCCTAGAGTGTTGGTTTTGAATCAGCGATACCTGGGTCCGTGTCTCTTCTGAACGATGTCCTTCACTGGGCTACCTTGGCCCAGTCCCCATTTCTTGGGCTTAAGGCTGTTGCCCTGTGTATACTGTTTCCCTCCCTTCCCATAAACACAACAGGACTTATTTGAAAGTAGCCAAAGTAACTGAAAAGGGTAACTGCATGTGGGATGCCCTACTCTTCTCGTGCTGTAGAAATCTGGGGGTTTAAATCGCCAAAACTCAAAACCGCAACCTGCCTTGATGCCTGAAAGTGAGCGAGAGGCCAGAGGAATTTGGAGAACACAGTCGTACCTTGGAAGTCAAACGGAAGTCGACTTCCAAAACGTTCAGAAACCAAAGCACAGCTTCTGATTGGCTGCAGGAAGCTCCTGCAGCCAATCGGAAGCCGCAGAAGCCCCGTCGGGCATTTGACTTCCAAAAATACTTCACAAACAGGAACAGTCACTTCTGGGTTTGCGGCGTTCAGGAGCCAAAATGTTTGAGAACTAAGCTGTTCGAAAACCAAGGTACGACTGTATGGGATCCAGAGCCACACCTGAGCCCAGTCTCTCTAATGCTGCTGGTGATATCTAAATCTAAATCTGGTCCTCGCTTTCTAGAGCAGGAATGGGGAACAGTGACCTTTTCCATATGCTGTTGGAATCTAACTCCCATCACCATTGGCGATCATGGCTGGGGCCAATTAGAGTTGGAATAAAATGACCTTACGTGAGGCCATAGGTTCTCATCCCAGCTTCAGAAGGAAATTGGTGCTAAAGTACTTTCTCCAAA